TAATCACAACAGGGAACAGTTTGCAGAGCTGTGCTTCGTTGACAGAAGTCCAGCCATGCGTCACACCTCTTTTAAACATCACTGTTGGCTGAAATCATCTCAGGAGAATACTTCAGTGTACCCTCGGCTATAGCTCCTCTAGAGACACTCCTCTCTCCTCTAAATCAGTGTATCCTCGGTTACGGCTCCTCCAGAGAGCCTCCTCGATAATCGATCCTCGACAAGCCTTTAGAGACATTTGTTTTCCTTCGACATCCGTTTCCGGGTCGCTGCCGGAGGACCTGGGAGTCTGGAACGCGAAAATTAAAGAGATGACAAACGGCTCATTTCCCAGGACTCGCGCACGTCTGCTTGACGCCGGGACGACCGGCCGCCCTCCCCGACAGGCGCACGGACGCGAGGGCCCGCTCATCACTGCGCGCACAAGTGCGACCGCAGTTTTAATTATTATTATTATCTGAACTCGCCATACTAACTTTTCTTCGTCTTGTATTTTGTTCTTTTTGTTGTTGTGTTTCTCTTCATTTGTTGTTTAAGGGCGGCTGGCAAACAGCTTTTAGGCGCAATACCGCCCCCTGAATTATATATAGTGTAGTGGATACTGCCCTGAATGACAGACTTTTTTCCCACTCGTAAAAAAAAAAAGGTGTATCCGTCGTGTGACTGCATGTGCCGAACCGTGACGTCCGAACCGTGACGGATACGGATACCGTTACACCCCTACCAGGGACACAACGACATGCTGACTGCAGTGGGTTTGAACCTGTGACCCCCTGATCCCAACACCAAGGCTCTATCCACTGCGCCACACGCCTCCCTATTTGAGGATAGCAGGAGCTGACAGAGCGTACTTGGTCTTCCTGACATAACTTGAGGCATCATTAAATATTTCAAGCTTCCTCTGTTCCTGTCTGTCTGGATGACAATGCTGATCGCTTATTCAGGGAATCACTGGGTGACTCACCAGCTGTTCGACTGCCCATCTAATCTTTTGATTTACGGACTCGTTGATTGGCAGAAAAATGATTCATCATCTCATAACAATCTGCTTGTATCGTGGGTGTTGGACTAGTTCTATGTATCACTGTCAACAGCCGGGAGCAGTCAGTCAGTCAAACTGGTTTGGTTGTGTTTGCTTCTAACGCAATGAATGATGTATATTGTGGATGTCACACTTTACCCCTGCGCTCTTTAACCCTCGCTCATATAGTGACACCCTGCCCCTCCATCTTTCATTCGTATCATCTGCTTCTTCCTCTCTGTTTTTCTGTCTTGTTTTTTTTCACCTTTTTAACATTTTCTTATCTCCACCCTGTCTCCAAACTCTGCTGCTGTTTATCTCACTTTCTGTTATTCTCCACTCTTGTGACAGCTTGTCGGTGACATTTGGTATTCTTATGCCGTCTCACTTCGAGTGTATGACACAAAATATGTCATCATAAATGTGTGTCTGTATCGCACACACACATGCTGCAGCCATAATCAGCCACACACACTTCAAAGTGACTCAGCAGTTTTAACAGTGGAAGAAAACAGCAGCTCTATTCTTGGTACACCTTTAACTCCTTTCTTCTCCTTCTTCTCCGCCGCTGGATGCCGGTGGTTTTTAGTCTAACTGTCATTGGCAGGGCAGAGGTGACTCGGTGGGGTTTAAAGACGAGCTTTGCTAAAAATAAAAACATTAGAGGAGACAAAAGAGTGAAAGAAAGGAGAGTGATTCAGTCAAGGAATGTAACGCTGTTTCCTGCTTCTTTTTCAACATCACATCGTGGTGAGAGAAGTAGCGCTGGATTCCTCGCATAGCATCAGTCGACTGTCAAAGTGTTCAGCCTACTTTGTCAGTGACATAGTGTGTGTGTGTGTGTGTGTGTGACTGTCATCAAGCGTTGTTCAGTCACACACACTTAAACACAGACGCCTGACTTTTTTGTGACAATTAGTATTAAATTCCAATGAGATCTCTCCTGGCATGCACACAAGATACAACGACATATGTATGAAGCAGGTTGTCTCACGGCTATTCAAATACTATTGCCCTATCACATAGTTCTGTAACACACCCTTTGATGGAAGTATATCAAGGGCTGCAAGGTTGTTGTTTTACTTAATTGAATTGAATAATCATTACGTTTATAAACGGTCGGAAACTATTACATTCCTAGAGTTCGTAGAGCCTCGAGGTAATGTCTACAAATTGCGTTTTTATCCAACTAACCATACAATTGCAGACGTTTCATTTACAGTAGAGAGGAGCAAGAACCAGCTATTATTGATATTTTTGCTTTATAATTCACTTTAACCATTTGATTAATGCAATAATAGCTGATACATTTTATGACACTGCGATTGATTAAAGAGATATTTTTTAGCATATTCTATGCACAATTAACTGCACTGTTTATTTATAACTTGCACCAGTCACATCACGTCCTTTTTCAACAATTGCTATTTCAAAGGATGTAAATGTCAGGGGACCGTACCGAATGCAAAGAAAACACATAATTCTTTGCGATTAACCTGCATTTCGGGGCCCGAATTGTGAAATATCATAGCAAATGTAATGAAATTGCAATTTATACATGAAATGAAATGGTTTTTTTTACATTAAATTGCAATCTGGGGCAATACAACGACCTATCTCAATTTCTGAACGAACCTGGGGCAGGATAATGCGATAATGCTATAATATGCTATAATATGTTAAAATGTAAATGACTGTGATATCCTCTGTAGAAATACGGTCCTATTGCTGGAGAACTGGATGGTTCCCGATGTATTAGAGTGCCCTTGTGGTATGTACCAATTTAATTTAGTGTTGTTATTTTTCTTTAATGTAAAGTAGTTGTCCTGTGTATATATGTATTGCTTTTGGCTCTATGTCTTTGTCCTATGTATGTGATTTTTTGTAAGCTGAAAATCAATAAACATATTGATAAAAAAAAAAAATTGCAATCTGGGACTTAAAGGCAAGAAAAGGACAATATGGAAAATATTGCACAATGTGTCACACAGTTCAATTCAGCAACTTTGAAGCAGACAAACTGCATCAGCAAAGAGGAACAGTGACTCATATGCAGGGGTGTAATATAACTAACAACTAACTTAAGTATTTTTCAAATACTTGTACTGACTAGTTCTGTTTTGTACTACTCCAATATATTTAGGCTCAAATATCATACATTTTACTCCATTACTATTATTTATCACTCCGATTTACTAGTTACTTTAATAATAATAATACATTGATTTCAAAGCACCCAAGGACACCTCCATAAATCCATAAAATATTCTGAAAACTGTACAAAAGGCCAGTAACAGGCGACATGTAGCACTACAGTGAGTAGGCGGATCTGAACAGCTGGGTTTTGAGGAGGGACTTGAATGCAGTGATTGTGTCAGACTGTCGGATGTGTTGGGGGGGAGTTTCAGAGTCTTGGAGCAGTGCAGCCAAAAGCCAGAGCACCCATGGTGACGAGGGGTGGGGACGGTAAGTAGACCAGCCAGGGGGTTTAAGAGGTCGGCCAGATAGGTGGGGGCAAGGTTGTGGAGGGCTTTGAATGTGGGGAGGAGGTTTTTGTCCTCAATCCGGTGTTGTATAGAGAGCCAGTGCAGTTGGATGGGGGTGATGTGGTCAGTAGACTTGGTGCGGCTGATGATCCGGGCAGAAGAGTTCTGAATGATTTGGACTTTATTGAGGAGTTTGATGGGAAGGCCAGAAAGGACAGCATTGCATTGTGTTAGCATTAATCAACACATATTCTCTGTGGCAGCCCCGAAGCTCTGGAACTCCCTCCCCCAATACCTCCGTGAGTCTGAGTCCCTCACCCTGTTCCAGTCCCGCCTCAAAACCCACCTCTTCAACTCTGTATCCATAAGCCCCGCCCCTCCCTCTCAATCAACTTCCTCCTGACTACTTTTCTGTTTTGTTTTGTTTGTCTACCCTCCCTCCCAAATGTAAAGCGTCTTTGGGTTCAAGAAAAGCGCTATAGAAATAAAATATATTATTATTATTATAACAACAACAAAATGCAAATATGATGCAGTACTACTGATATGATACCGTACTACTTACCTACCCTAATCATAACTAACATTGGCTCAACATTGATCAACTACAACGGTAAAACAATAGTAAATGTATTTATTGGTGATAAAACTGAATAATATTCTGTTATACTGTGAAAAGAGTCTTTTGCAAACTGAATACTTTCAAGTCTCAAATACATTCAGCTGAAAGTACTTCTGTACCTCTACTTAAGTAACACTTTCAATCCAAGACTTGTAACGGCCCGTCCACACAGCGGCGTGCGTTGAAGCTTCCAACGCTTCTGCCCATTCACTTTGAATGGGGTGACGTCACTTTTAGCCGAACTGCATTTTGGGAAGCGACGTGGAGCGTTGCTCGCTTCAAAAGTTGAGCAATGTTCAACTTTTGGCGCCTCGGCAGAAGCGCCAGCCAATGAAATCCCGTTTATGCAAATCTGCCAGTACAAGCGCTAGCCAATCAAACCGCGTGTATGCTGGGAGAGACTACGCAGGTCATTTCCTCATATTCCAAAAAATGGAGGGAAAGTTCATTATAGCGGTAGTGAATCACCCGGTGCTGTATGATCAGTCTCTGTTCATCTCCCGGGATACAAACCGGAGGAGCGAGGCATGGAGGGAGGTGGCAGAGACAGTGGGTGAAACTGGTAGGTTTTCGCCTGTTTGGGGATTTTATATCCAGTTTACTTCGTTTTAACATTGCTATTGCTTTGTATGTCGGGGGCGGGAGATTCATGTGATTGGTTGTTGGTCGCAAAAAATCCCCAAGCTTCAGATACGCCCACCGCCAAGCGTCAACGCACGCTGCTGTGTGGACGCTCCGTAATGTATTTGAAGACCATAGTATTTCTACGTTTACTTAAAGGATCTGAGTACGTCTTCCACCTCTGCTCCTATGTTTGTATCAACAGACACTAAAGTAAATGTTTTTGAACAATAATCTCCAAGCTCTGAAGTTTAAAGAGGTAAATGTAATCACTTTATTGAAATGATTTGTCATTACATGTTAAGGAAGATCGGTCCAAGTTGTTACCGTAAATCACATAACAACTATTTGTTGCAACAGAAACAAAACCTTTTTTACAATGTTTAATCTTACTTGTAATATATGTATTCTAAGATTACACATGAATAAGAATAAATACAAACAAACAAACAAATGATTCATAAACTAATTGAGCATAGTACATTTGAAGCTGTGTATTTTAAACAAAGTGTCTTCATGTCACTCAGTAACCTTCACTGCTCCACACACACTAACTCATACACACATGCATTCACTTTCCCTTTAGCACACGGTAAACATACTTAAAGTTTGCAGGTTTCTATGTGTTTAGACCCACGTTTCACACACACACACACACACACACACACACACACACACACACACACACACACACACACACACACTCCTGCACAGCGAGAGAGGGCTTTGTGAGTATCCTCAGAGTGTGTGGCCCAAATATTCCCAACACAATGTCCCTCTGTGACTCTCTGCTAGATCTCTTCATGGGAATGGTGCCAACCACTGGAGCAAATCCTGAGTGTATAGGTCCAAATCTTCTTTTTTGTATATATAAGATTAGTTGTGGGATCAGGTGGAAGTGATTGATGAGCTCGTAGCAGCTGATTGGACGAGGCTTGTGATTGACAGGTGGCATCACAGGGGAAATGGAAGGAATCTGTGACATAATGAGCAGTTCAGTTGTTCCTCGTCAGTGATTGGACACAGCAGGTGAGCGGTGTGAGGGGGCGGGGTTAAGACCTTTTATGACACCTTGGGAGCGTTTGTGTTTGATTGACACGTCACGTCATTGGCAGTGGTAAATGGGCTGGACGTACTCCGGGGGGAAGTGGCCCACGTGTCCATGGCAACGGCCCCTCCAGCGCTGCGAATCAGAGCAGTCCATGAGTTCGATGACATCACCGCGCAGGAAGCGTAGCTGCGACGGGTGGTGGGGGGTGAAGTCGAAGAGAGCGTGGGCATGATGGGGACGCTGTGGGGGGGAGAGTGAGAGAAAGAGAGTTACTGAAATGAACTTCATTTGTCCGTGGCAGTATAACAAAAAAGAAGTGTTCAGGTTAAGTGACATTGTGTCAATTTAATAAATGATGTTCTCTGTTTTTCTCTCAAAGTACAAGCATATTTTATTCATATCTTTCATTTAACATTTATTTATCCAAATCATTGTCGGTCAGTCCATTCCTCGGCCTGTGAAATATTCATATGATGAGAAATGTCTGACCAAAACAGTAGCAACCGCACAGAGGAGGAAGACTAATATTAATTTCTGTTATAAACATCATTACTGCAACGGTTCACCTAAATATTACATTACATTACATTGCATTTAGCTGACGCTTTTGTCCAAAGCGACTTACAATAAGTACATTCGACCAGGAAGACACAACCTTGAAGAAAACAGAATCATATAAGTATATCAGGTTTCATAGAGCCAAACATTTCAAGTGCTACTCAACTGGCTTTAGATAAGCCAGTCCTTTATTGGTATAAAAGTGCTTCGTTAATCGTTCTAACGCTCGAAGTGGAGTCGAAAGAGATGAGTTTTCAGTTTGCGCCGGAAGATGTGCAAGCTATCTGCCGTCCTGATGTCAATGGGGAGCTCATTCCACCATCTTGGAGCCAGGATAGCAAACCCACGTGTTTTTGCTGATGGGAACTTGGGTCCCCCTCGCAGCGAGGGCGCAACGAGTCGTTTGGCTGATGCAGAGCGTAGTGCACGCGCTGGGGTGTACGGTTTAACCATGTCCTGGATGTAGGAAGGGCCAGATCCATTCGCAGCACGGTAAGCAAGTACCAGTGTCTTGAAGTGGATTCTAGCAGTTACCAGAAGCCAGTGGAGGGAGCGGAGGAGCGGAGTGGTGTGGGAGAATTTAGGAAGGTTGAAAACCAGACGAGCCGCTGCATTCTGGATGAGCTGCAGAGGTCGGATGGCACATGCAGGTAGACCAGCCAGGAGGGAGTTGCAGTAGTCTAGGCGTGAGATGACGAGAGCCTGGACCAGAACCTGAGTCGCTTTCTGAGTCAGCTGGGGACGTATCTTCCTGATGTTGTAAAGCGTGTATCTGCAGCAACGGGTTGTAGCAGCGATGTTTGCAGTGAAGGACAGGTTGTTATCTAGGGTCACACCCAGATTCCTTGCAGTCTGAGTCGGGGAAACAACAGAGGTGCCGATGTTGATTGTCAGGTCAAGAGTTGGACAATCTTTTCCCGGGAGGAAGAGCAGCTCAGTCTTGTCAAGGTTGAGCTTGAGGTGGTGATCAGACATCCACTGAGAGATGTCAGCTAGACAAGCAGAGATGCGTGCGACGACCTGGGTCTCTGAGCGGGGAAAGGACAGAATTAATTGGGTGTCGTCAGCGTAGCAGTGGTAAGAAAAACCATGCGGGCTAATGACTGATCCGAGCGAGTTTGTGTACAAGGAGAAGAGGAGGGGACCAAGAACAGAGCCCTGAATACTACCCTGTTGACAAGAGTGACAGCTAGGTTTTATATTGATGATGGATTTCAAAAAATGATGTAATGTTTAGAAATCCTTAAATGCTTGTTGAGGGTTATTTAAAGGAATAGTTCTACGTTTTGGGAAACACTTTTATTTCTCAAGAGATAAAAAGGAAGATTGATGCCATTTCGGTTGTGATGGTATCAATCTTATCATCTCTCGGCAAGAAAGACAGAATTTCCAAATATGTCTAACTATTGCTAAGAAGGAAGGAGGAAAAAGGTATCTTTGGGTTGTGTAGCTTCAAGGGACATTTTGTGTGATGAAATCTAAAATTCCTGTTAAATCAATTTATCCCCGTTATGCTTATCCTCTTATCCTAAAACTCAAGACATGACATTCTCAAACCTTTATTTTTCCACACCTGAGGACATACGTTTATTTTAAGTAGATACTGTACATACATTTTGATAAGAGATTATCTTTTGGGTCACAGCTGCAGGTCACAGTTGAATTCACTGAATTCTTATTCATAAAAAATCTTTATAAGCTCTGTTCATTTTTTGTCTAAATGTGAGCTTTAAAGTGGACCTATTAAGCTATATTGGAAAATATATTGTCGGGCCATACCTATACAAAACATGTCTGTGAAGTTTTTTGCTTAAAATACCAAACAGATCCCCCATTGTAGCCATGCCTCATACTGCTCAAACCCCTCTTTTGCAGCCCTGTAAGAGAAACGCGGATTTTGGGTCCTTAGCTTAAAAAAAAAAAAAAGAGGAGGCGGAGCTAATGCCTGATCAGAATTCTACCGGAGATAAAGTACAATTCTGCTGTGATAAAACCCCATCCTGTTCTAAACCACATCAAGGATTATTTCTGAAACAGCATGGAGCTCAAATGCTTTTTCTCTTGCAGGTTTATCACAAGGTGAGTTCCTTTTTTTATTTCCTGCTTTTTAAACACATGTTAGAGTGTTAGCGAGGCTTGCTAATGTAAACAAAGACGAGATTACGTCTAAAACACGTCAGGCATTGTTTCTGATAGCAATTTTCTGTGGGTCCGCTGCCGCTTTGACGTCAGATCGGCAGCAAATCTGTATCCGCTCGTTGTACCCGTTTTTAAAAGATTTGGGTATGGAAGAAAAGAGAGAGGGTTTTATTTTCTGACGCTGCGTGAGTTCCCCGACGCACCGGGGACACATGTTTATGTATAAAAGACATCACAAAGTGCATTTTGCACGATAGGTCCCCTTTAATATGGCAGAGCAACTTTTGAAATAATGACAAAGTGATTTGAGGAGGTCATGAAAAAGAAAAAGAAGAATAGTGTAAGACATACAGAATGTGATGACGACATGAAAACAGCCCTCTGTTGAAATTGTGATTTGTAATGGTGAAAGGCGTACTGCTTTCAATTGAACCTGCAGGTGTGGGCCTTCTCTGTCTCACTTAGGTTTACAAAAGTAGTCTTTCTTCTCCCCTGATCGACAGCCTCCTCTGATCTCTGTTGACTCGTGAAGTAAAAGCAATTTAAGAGTAGCAGAATAAAAGTGGCTATTTTAAGAAATCTTGAACTAAACTAACGTCTTAGCTGTCAGTTGCACTCCGACAGAGAAACGATATATGAACTGGGAGAAAGCCGAAAGACTGAAACGAATACCAATATTGTATTTTTTACGTGTGAGTGTTTCTGGGCTTTGTTACTGCTGTGGAGTGCTTTGTGTTGGACCAAGGCCCTGTCATCCAGGGATGTCATCCAGGCACACAAACACACTCTAAGCAGACAGCAGGATTAGGATCAAGACACACAAACACAATCTATCAATCCCACAAATCTGTAAAATCCTCGCATATCCTAGATTTATTTTTTGTGTGTGTGTTCACGCACACACCCTCTTCCTGTGTATCTGGGTGTGAGCGAGCAAGTGTGTGCAGACCCCTGTGTGTTCAAGTGTGTGTGTGACAGCACAGGGAAAACTCATTCATTTCCCACGGCAGTTCATGAGGAGCGATGGTTTGGAAAGAGAAATATGGTCGCCACGTATCAGCTGCGCTTGGCTGCCTTGTGATCAACGTCCTCAGAAGGAGATAAGAAGCGATCTAGTGCTAAGTATTTAACTGATACAGAATTAGTTTTGAAAAAACAACTTAACGATAAGACGTACGATACAAAAAGCAACAAGAACCGAGATTAAGTTTAAAGAGGACCCTATTATGCTAATTGTCAGGGTCATATTTGTGTTTGATGTCTCTACTGTGACATGTCTCCACGCTTTAATGTTCAAAAAGCTCTTTATTTTTCTCATAGTGCTGCAGCACCTCTTTTCACCCTCTGTCTGAAACCAGAGCCCAGTCTGCTCTGATTGGTTGGCTCTGTTGTGATTGGTCAACCACTGAGAGATGTCCTGCCCCTTAGCCAATCACGTGCCAAGGTGTTTGAGGGCTAGCCAATAGAAGCACAAGTGTTGCGTAGTGATGTCACCATGTTCTTGAAGTAAACAATGGAGGTGTTTCACGCACAAAACCTAAATAACACACTACGGGAAAGTGGAAACTGACCAATAGAGTCATAAACTGAAATAGAGAGAAATCATATGGAGGTGGAAAAAAAACATATTGTTATGAAATATAACGCATAAGGTCAGCTACGTTTCTTTTTCATGCATTGATTTCAGAGTCAAAGTCTTAAGAGGGTTATGCCAGAACTAGATTGTTATCGTTGTGCTGTTAGTGTTACTGTCAATGTGAAGTGAAGATGATGCTAGTAACTGAAGAAATGGGTTTACTATAAATATTTGAGATACAAGGTCGGAATTAGACAAAGCAAAGACAGAGAAACAAGTTCCTAAATAATCTGGCAGGGAATTTAGGTATGAGGCAAAATAAATGTCTGCATCTTAAAAAAAAGTCCTCATGTTTGCTCCTTGGTATCATAATGTGTGTAATTTCGCTAATGGAGTGTAGACTATGTTACACACAGTGTTGGGACTAACGCGGCACACAGTAACGCGTTACTGTAACGCCGTTATTTTTGGCAGTAACTAGTACTCAAACGCATTACTTCTTAAAATCAGTAACTCAGTTACCGTTACTATCTGGTGCGTTACTCCGTTACTGCGTTAGCCAGGCGGACAGAGATGAGAACTGTACTTAAGTACAGTACTTGAGTAAATGTACTTTGATACTTCCTGTGTCACATGCGGAGACGGGCTGTGGGCGTGTTTGTGTTGTTTACTAACAAGACTATCATGGCGGCGGCGGAGCTCAAGTCTAGTTTCTCCACCTGGAGATATTCTCACTATTTCACTTTTGTCGAGCACAAAGAAAAGAACGTTTTAGTTAAATGTAAGTTGTGTCTTGGCGGGACAAAGATCTTATCTACTGCCCAAACCAGTAATTCAAATCTCTTAAAACATCTGCAAAAACAACATGCTGGGACGAAGCTAGTAGCTAAGACCACAGAGACTCAGCCGACGCCACTCCACCTCCACCTAAGCAACAGCGGCTGGATTTTAACCAAGGGACTGCTAG